GCTGCTTTGAAGCTGCACCTGGCACCATCAAAAGGCACCACTGCTCCTAATGGCAAGCAGACTGAAAAAGATCATGCGATGTTGTACATTGAGATATACCTACACCCTTACAGTTTAGGGCCTCTGAAGCTGTCACACCACATGCAGACCTTTTTAGTAGGAGATTGAAATGGTCTTCATGACCTTCACCACCTCAAAACCAACATCGTAAATGTTGAGGATTCATCTTGAGGGGAGCCTTTTCTTCAGAACCTGTTTTTTGATTTTTCGCAAGTCTCGGAAACTTTTCGTGGTGGCACCCTTGCATAGCGATGGCAGACGTGATATCTCTGGTGAAGCAAAGGCCTCCAACTGGTCTCGGTGTGTCTCGAGCTGGCTGCTATTCGTTCGTACTTGTTCAAGCTCCTGCAAGCCGGCAACAAACATGGTAGTCGAGGGAAAATCAAACATTGGAACCAACCTGGAGTGTTTGCTTCATGCTCGCCAGCTTTGCCTTTCAAAAGACGCCCAAGCCGGGCATGTTTCAACAGTGTGAAACCCAGCATGCAACGCTGGACATACAAAATAACTATGCAAAACCGCATTCCAGCCTCGAGTTGTCTGCGCTTCTGTCGCTCCCTCTCCAACTCCTCTGCGCATCAAACTCAATATGAGACAAGCGCAGATTCAAACAACTGCAATTTGTGCCTCGGATGTTTGCCTTGTCGACTGAAGCTTCACCTGACAAGGGGCCACACAGCCAAGTCAGCATCTTCCTGGTGCACTCTCTTAGAAGTTCCAAGGGTGGGTTTATCAATGAAATACAATACTGTAACTAAAGGCCACTGATTTGACACGAAACAGGGCCTCCAACTGGTCTCGCTGCAACTCAAGCTGGCTGCTCTTTGCTCGTTCCTTTGCCAGCTCCTTCCAATTCAAAGCAATAAACATTATGCATGCAGAGGCGGGATGGTTGTCGTGGGTCAAAATAAATTGGGTCTCCCTGAAAGATAGAACTGGCATACTTGGAGAAGGGAAATTGCCCAGATAGTGAAAATAGACAAAATCAACCCAGCCTCGAGTGTCTGCTTTGTGTGCTGCAGCTGTGCCTGGCACACATCAGAGGCCCTGGGCCCTGATCAAAGAAACTCTGCCCGGGGCCTTGATCCTGGCCCTAGGAAATAGTATCTATGTCTGGGATATCTATTTCTTGGACAACTGGCACTTCGGCATATGTCACATATATATATATATATATGACTCAAAACAATTCTAACTCAACGTCGGACTCAATGTTTCAAAAAGGGCATTGAAAATTTGCTCAACAAAGCCCAACAATGAGCCCATCCATGATGGACTACAAAAACAAGTTCGACCCACGTCTCAGTTGCAATATTCCCTGCCTCAAGTGCTTGCTGGGCTGTCTGAACTTCCACCTGTACCGGTGCAGCAAGCGCGTGGAACATTCCAAGAACTTGCCCTCTCAATTTCTCTCACCATTCTTCGACTTAACTCCAATAGCCTGCGATTGTCCAGACTGCACTGCAAGCTCCGCAGATGCAACTCTTTCCTTCTCCAAATCCTGTCGCGGAATCAGGGTCACCGATGCAACTCTTTCCTTCTCCAAATCCTGTCGCGGAATCAGGGTCACCAGTCACCAAGGACATCTAAACAATAACATCCAACGAAGTAGGAAATGAGTCTAAGCGAACATTTTGTCCAGCTGCATCAAATGATTCTGGATCACATGACGAGCCAGCAAGCGGACTGAAAAGAACATGCGATGTTGCACATCCAAGACCTACACCCATCAATTTTAGGGCCTTTGAAGGTCTCGCACCACTCACAAACAGATCTTTTAAGGAGATTGAAATGGTCTTCATGACCTTCACCACCTCAAAGACAACATCGTAAATGTTGAGGATTCATCTCTTTGAGGAGCCTTAACCAACTGCATCTCTTCAACCAAACACTGTGGCTTTTGTGGTGTCTCTTGAGCACGTGCTCATGTGCCCGTGTGTGTTGTTGGTCGAGTCTAGTCTAGTCTAAGGAAACGCAGCTTGAAAGAGATCCGTCTCTACAAAGATCAAGAAACACAAAGATCAAGATCAAGGGGGTTCCCACCCTGACTTGCTAGGTGAAACTCCTTTGACCGACAACACACCTTTTTCATCAAGGGCTTGAATCGATCCGTCTGCGCTTCACGCCATCATTGTCCTCTTCCTTGGCCGTTCGAGAGAAGGTGCCAAAACGGCGGACTCCAAAATCGCTCGAATCGCTGCTTCACAATCCGACTGGTTGAACTAAGTGCGCCGGCGCGTTTCAAATCATCAATGACCTGGTTCACCACATCCATGTGTTCCTCCTAAGTGCTCAACTGGAGACTTCACTCGTACCAGTCAGAAAAAGGCCCACCTGTGCGTTGCCACTTCGGAGATATGCCACGAACTGCTCGTAAAACCTCAATGAACATGTGTGAAAAGCATCTGGTCAATCATGGTTGAGATCAAAAACTGCTGCACTGCACGTTCCTCACCTGATGCTTATGACCACACTTGAGTCACTGGACATGTGACCTCCTCCTACTTATTCCTTCGTCCCGAAAAAGAGATGTGAGTAAAAGAGATTTGGGGATACGGGATAGGGCAAACCAATTACAGCCAATGGGTCTAGTCACACAAACATTTGTAAGACCATGTAAGACCTCTCAAATTTCCACCGCGTTTACCCCGATGCGAGGGGGGTCACAACAGAGCCACTTCAGTGCCTGCGTTCCCTTGCGATCTCCCTCTAGAGGTCCAGGCAGGTGAAACTCCTCGCTAAAGAACTCTCTGATCACCAACAGACTATGTAAAACGATACGACTTCACCGACGTGCCTTCCCGAATGGAAAAGGCTTCCTTTTGCAAAAGAACATGCGACTTGACCACTTGACTGTAATTGGAGAAACTGTAAAAGTATGTAAAAGTGAACTGCCACAAACAATGCTGCTTCCGGATTGCAGTCTTCTTCTCAGCCGCGCCACACTTTCCCAGTCTCTTTGGGGTCCACCTCTTTGAGGAGTTCGTCCACATCACCTTCAGACTCGCCCAAGAGCTTCAGGAGGGAGTCCCTGGAGATGTAGCCCTTGCCATCCTCGTCTCTCCGGAATTTTCACTCCAACCAAGAGCCTAATAGCGATGGCCTCCAACTAAGAGGAGTTTGGGAAGACTTGATTGAAGAGGACGTGAACACACTTTGGCACAAGGCTCGACATCAAAGCGGGCAAAGACTGCACGCAGCATCTGATCGTGCCTGAGATTTGTTGCAAAACACTGGAAGCACTCGACTCGCGCGGTTTCATGCGGTTTCTTCAGTTGGCAAAGCTCACCGTGTCTTAGGCGTCAACATCGCAATGCGAGAAGAAACCATCGCACCCAGGAACTCGCTGTAATGCACCTGACAAAGCCCGAGAACACAGACACCATGCACCGCGAGTCCAAGACTCCGACATCCACAACCTTTTGTTTTGTTTGTGATTTGATGAGTTTTTCCTTCCTTCCTTCCTTGCTTCCTTCCTTTCTTTCCCTTTCCCTTTCCCTTTCCCTTTTCCATGTCCTTCTTCTCTTCCTTTCCTTCCTCCTTCCTAGGTCCTAGACAAAAATTGCAACGGCCCGACAGAAAAGAATTCCTTGTCGTCAACCATCCACCATGCAGCCGTTTAGTGGGAGGAGAGCAAGCGACGCTAGGGGACGCCTCATCGCAATGCCCACTGTCCAGGGCATGGAAGATTTCTGCTGCCTCCTCAGGTCGGAGCTCAACCCTTCAACGACCACTGCTTAGAAACGCGAAGAACGCTTAAAACTATCAACATGCAATGACTTAGCATGGTTTGTTGGGAAATGGTCGGTTCCTAGCAATTGGGATAAACCGGCGTCACTAGCCAGATACTCATCCATCTAGTCTGAGGTAGCATCTGCAAAAGCTATCTTAGTGTCACGTGGGCAAACAAAAAGGAGGCCATGGCTAGTAGGTTGGAGGCCATCGCTAGTACAGGTTGGAGGCCATCGCCAGGGTGGAGGCCATCCCTATAGCAGGTTGGAGGCCACCGCTAGTAGGTTGCAGGCCATCGCTATTAAAAGGGTAGAGACCATCGCTAGTAGGTTGGAGGCCGTCGCTATTAGGTGGAGGCCATCGCTATTGGGGTGGAGGCCATCACTATTAGGGTGGAGGCTATCGCTAGTAGGTTGGAAGCCATCGCTATTTGGGTGGAGGCCATCGCTAGTAGGTTACAGGCCATCGCTATTAAAAGGGTGGAGACCATCGCTAGAGGTCGTCGCTATTAGGGTGGAGGCCATCGCTATTGGGCAATCGCTATTGGGGTGGAGGCTATCGCTAGTAGGTTGGAGGCCATCGCTATTATAGGGTGGAGGCCATCGCTATTAGGTTGGAGGCTATCGCTGGTAGGTTGGAAGCCATCGCTATTATAGTGGAACGATGAGTGTCATGTCTGCAAACAAAAAGGAGTCGCCACAGGAGATCCGACCGCCTGGTCCGGAATGTCGAAGCCGCTCAGGACGTCCCGGAGTTCGTGTAGCCGGATGGTGCCACGACGGGAGGTGTCCAGCTCTAAAAAGGCATCGACCACCTCATGGTGAGGGGATCGAATGGGTTTGCTTGGAGGACCCCCAAAGAGAAAAAGACAGGTTGGAAAAAGAAGGAAGGATACGGAGTGGCCCGGCCCCTTCAATCTATTGAACCAGCTCTTTCCTCTCACTTTAGATTTTTCTGGTTCCGGAAGTGTCCATCCATTTGCAAAGAAGTCACAATATGTCGCAATCAAAAAGAACATGGGTTACAAGAGGACAAGCTTCCAAATTGGAGGCTGAATTCTCCACAAGTTCAGCAATGATTCCACAATTATTTCATGTTCCAACTGAAGTTTGTTCTAAGACACTGATTTACGCTCTTCGTGCGTCAACGACCATGCCATCACGGAAAGGCAAGCGCGACGAAACTTGGAAGCATGCTCAAACCGCCTGTCACTGGACTAAGCGGCTGAACAATCAACTGGAAAAGCAGAGTGACCGCGCAACAGTGTTTTGAATGGCCAGAAATGCGGATTGTTGTTGGCTGGGCAAAAGCGGACAACCCCAGCACCACAGCCTGAGGGCATCAACTACAGATCGATCCATCTTGCAAGTACCCAGAGGCATTCGCTCACGCTCCTGCAGCCAGGACAACAGCCTCTCCAACAAGCAGTGTGAAAACCCTCGATCAAGTTTGCATATTTTGTTTGAATGACAAAAGTCCATGCATGACTTCACTTCAGCGGTGCTCACATCTGTGTGAATATATATATATATAT